CTCCAGGATGGAGTCACAGCCAAACAGGAACAGACCAGATGAAGCTACTATGAGAAAAAGCAGAGAGAGCAGAACGTTAGAGATTGAGATTTTGATAACCACAGGCACTGTGATGCTTTACCAATCCCCAGTTCTCTAACCATGACACATGGATGAATTGAAACCCCGATGAAAAATTGCAACCATGATGATGCAAGTGGTTAGAACTGTTACCTTGCAATAAAAAGCTGCTGAGTTGAATTCTCAGTCAGAGGGCTTTCATTATGTTTGCATATTCTGTTTATAGATACATACATAGGTTCTCTCTGGGATCCTTCCACAGCCCAAAAACAATGAATCCTAGGTTAATTGGTCCCTCCAAATTCCCCTTAAATTGGCTCTGTGAATGAGTTGCCCTGTAAGTATTGGAGGCCTGTTACCATAACAATGCAGACGACACGCTCCTTTATATGAAACTATTCTAGCTCTGGGTAAATATATAGAAGAAAACAGTCAATTGATGTACTTACAAAAAACAAAACCAAATGAATAATTTTTGGATCAGAGGAAAAGCATTTAAAAGTTAGTCCACAGCTTCAGTTAATCCAGTGAGAAACCACCAACCAGGCTTTAAAGCTGGTTGTAGTGATGGACTCAGACATGAACCTTCACAGATTCATAAAGAAAGGAACAAAGTTGGCCTTTTATCACCTAAATAACATCTCTAGAGGACTAATGTCGAAGCAGGACCTTAAGAAACTGATTCATTTCTATAATTTCTTTATGTTCAGGAAACTTTCCTCAGCAAAATATAACATCCGCATAAACAGACTGAAATAATTTCCCACTAATGATTATTCAGAGGACAAAGTCATATTTAGAAAACAAAAAAGCTGTGTTTTTACGGGTCAGTAATGGCAATACTGCTAGTTGGCATATTGGCAGCGTTTTGGTATAAAGGGGGTTCACAGGAGGAAACTGTCGGTTCTCCTCCAGACTTCATCCCCATCATAGGGGATTTTTCATTATTCCTTTTTTTTTTGGCATGTTAATAATAAGTAATTCAAAGATACCTTTTTATGCAGGCCGGGCGCCTCCGGGTGCATTACTTCCCCCCTCAGGACACTGGCTTATGCATCATATCATGGGCATTACGCTGCGTTATGTAGAAGTTATGCTGTTGTTGGACAAGTTCTGGACTTGTTATGAATACTCTATGAATATACCCAAAATTGAAAAAATACATAGAAAGTTCCACGTATCCCAGCGTTTTAGGAGATCCTGGGACGTCGGGCATACGCTGGCTAATTCAATAAGGTGTGACAGGAGCCTTAGATTGAGGGCCCCTCAATCTAAGGCCACGTGTTTTTGTTCTGTTTATTTATGTAGCATCAATTAATAGGTAACTTCTAGGCACTGAACAAAGACAATTTTACCAGATCACCCTGTCAGATTAAAGGTTCAAAGTTTTCTATCAGAGGAAAACCAGTCTTGACTTTGCAGGATTCTCTCTTCCTGGGTAAGCATGCAGAGGCGGTAGATGTTCACTTGCATTGTGTCATTGACTCTACAGTAATCCCTCACACTGAGCATGCATGCAGTGACTGTGGAAAGAAAAACTTCCTTTCATCAGGTAGAAACCACCAGAAGAACCAGGCTCAGTAGACAAGTTTCTGTTATCCTTTTATTAACCCACATGATGACATCTTGCATTAGAGGAGATTGATGGAAAAAGCTTATTTAGTAAAAAGGTTTTTATGTTTGTTTGAGATGGTTTTTGAGTTGACAGAAAATGTACTTAAGGCGGAGAGGAAAACTAATTTTTCAAATAAGCTTTACATTGTGAACATTCACCTGGTCAACTGTCTGCACTGTCCTTGTCTTAAATGCAAGCATTAAAATCATTTATGTACCATAACTAACACTAGCACGCATGATAAAGAGCAACTTGCCTGATTGCAATACATTCATTAAAGCATACGTCAATTAGTGATCTGTCATTTGCTCTTGCTTGCTACCTCTTGCTTCCCTTTATTGTTGCCAAGTTTAAAATCAATGTTTTGCATCGCAGGTTAATTTGCTCCGAAGATGAAAACATGGCTATATCACATTTTCCTTTTCTTCAACATTTTAAAGTTTGCTTAAAATTCTCATCACATTTGGAAGCAAACATCGCTAGTGTAAAGGCTTTCTGGCGAGGCCAACTGGGGGTTCAAGGAGACAGAAGGAGATATACAAAAGAAGCAAAGAAGCTATATCAATAAAAAATTTCTATGTTAGAAAAGGAAACGATAAACTAGCTACAAAGGGGGTTCTGCCTAGGGAAGAAATGGTTAGCGAATGAGCTCTACATCAGTTTTTATTCCAAGAGGAAAACAAAGCGCACATCCAGTTAGTTACAGTAGAAGCAGAGCCCAGAGATATGTCTAGTGGAAAAACAGGACTACCACTGAATAACAGGCTCCACCTTTCATCTACAGTCTAAGGTGATGATGGCAGCAGCCCAGGAGGAAGTCATAGCCAAACAGAACCAGATCAGATGAGGCTACTATAAACAGAAAAAAATGGAGTAAAAAAAAAATTGAAGAGAAGCAGAGTGATGCATAGAAATGAAAAGTGGTCTCTATGTCTTCCAGCAGCCTAAGCCTATAGCAGCATAACTAAAGAAATGACTCAGAATAAGCCTGCCGTACTACAAGCTTTTTAAAAAAGCAGGAAAACCTGCAGCCAAAATCAGAGGAGACTGTGTCATACCTTTTACAAATAACCTCTTTTGGGCAGAAGAGTCCAAATGAGGCTAACCCAGTTATCACCTCTTTCAGGAGATCAATGCATCTCTGGCTCCTGGATAATCAGACCTGCAGTCACGTACATATAATACATTTTCTATTTTTAAATTATTAACTTTTTATCTCTGAACTGTTTGCTTTGTTAATTTCTGTGCTGTTTATTCCATTTTACCTGCTTCACATGATGTCACTTGTTATTGTTATTGTCTACTGCAGTTGTTTTAATATTTTCCAGTTGTTAAAAAAATTAACTTGCCCTGAGACTGTATATAAAAATTACCCTCCATGGCTAACTGGTGTTTTTTCAGTGGGTAGCACTGCTGCCTTGCAGCAAGAAGGTTGCAAGAAGGTTGTGGGTTTGATTCCTGGCCTGGGATCTTTCTCCATCGAGTTTGCATGTTCTCCCTGAGCATGCGTGGGTTCTCTCCGGGTACTCTGGCTTTCTCCCCGAGTCCAAAAACATGACTGTTAGGTTAATTGGCTTCTCTAAATTCAACTTAGGTGTGTGTGTGTGTGAATGCTTGTTTGTCCTGTTTGTCTCTGTGTTGCCCTGCGATGGACTGGTGACCTGTCTAGGGTGGAGCCCGCCTCTCGCCTGTAGACAGCTGGAGATAGGAACCAGCACCCCTCGCCACCCCAATTGGAAATAAGCGTGTCAGAAAATGTATGGATGGATGGATAATAAGCATAAATAAAAATTTTATTATTTTTTTTTTTTAAATGTGTTTATTATGTAAGCATCTATTTGGCCAGCTGAGACTCCCATACAGTTTTTCTAAACAACTACCAGCCGTAACATACTCTTAACAGATTTAACCGACTGCAGCATGGTTTAAGCTACACCAAACATAGCGCTATCGAACACAGAAACATACATGCAACGGTTTTTCCTCTACAGGCAGAAAGCAGGGCCAATTAAACAACTATTAGGTCTCAGGTTGTGCTCATTTATAGTTACAGGAGAAAATAGGATACTTTACAGGTTTTACATGGAGGTATGACTTATAATATCACCTGTAATATGAAATACCAGGAAACAATTCAGAATTTTCATTTGCATTGTCATTTACCAATTAGATGTGATATCAGCGTCAGTACAGTGTTTTTAATTAAGATACAAATAATTTTATTTGGACTGTACTTCCTCCTTCACAGATAGACCGACCAATAAACCACATTGAAGAAGAGAAAGGTGAACGGGAAGAGAGCTCTTGCATAGAGGTCGACACGCTTAGCGGCAGCAGGGATGACAGGTTTTGGCGGAGGGGGTTTCTTGTTGGCTTTGTTCTGAGACTTGAGCGGCCCGCTAACTTCAACAGGTTTACCGTAGCAGTCGAAGTTAGAAAGCTCAAAGTCTCGAGGTAAAGACCCCACGATGCTGAAGTCGTTGGAGCGAAGGTCCGACTTGGAGGTGCAAACTTTCTTGCATCGATTTTCAACCACCTGTTAAAAGAGGAAAACTGACTGAGTAATCTGCACAGCCAATCAGAGTGCTACCCTCCCCTCCTTATTGCTCAGCACATTTGGTCAGCTGGCCTAAAGAAGCCTCCTGCACCTTGCTTGCACACAAGAAAAACAGATTACAATGTTAGGAGATATATATTTGGTGCAAAGAATACATTTAGGTGATGCCAACCCATTATTATTACTAAACAATGCTTTTATAAAAATAAAGTTAAGTTAGTAGCAACATATCCATAAAACACCCGACTGCAGGCTGGGTACTAAAGTAGACAGCCAGGCTCATCAGCCTGGGTGACTGCAACTTATTGCTATATTAATAACAGACTGTTAAAAAATAGAATAGCATTACAGAAAAAAAAAAAAAACTTTTTTTCAAAGATAAACAATGTATATAATAAAATACAACCTAATACTGTTGTATCCTTGATTCTACTTATTTCAATGTGATGATTTCATAGGGTTCCTGTCTTGGATGCAGTCTGGGTTCACCTGCAGGCTGCATTCACCTGTAAAGTGTTGGCATGGATTGGCGTTCCACCTGTGCCATTCACTGTATTGTTCGATTTATTTGAAGGCTTCTTTGCTTCTTTTTCTTTTAACGCTTTTTCCTTTGTGGCCATTTTGGCTTTCTCCTCTTCAATCAGTTTGGGACTGTTTAGAAAAACCTACAGAGAAAAAAAAAGAGAAAGGTTTAAGCTGACATTTCAACTTTAGTTCAGAAAGACTTTATTGATCCCAAAGGGGAAATAAATGTAACATCTTATTATGCCAACATCTTGGAGGTGTTGTTAACTGAAGGAAGAAAGGATCTTCTGTAGTGGTCTGTATTACAGCAGTTCTGGAGGTGCCTCTGAATGAAGACACTCTGCCGGTGTTTAACATTCTGATACAGGAATTATTGTGAATTATTCTAGAGCAGTTTGCTTTCTTTTTGAGCTATATGAGCCTTTTTCAGCCATTAGCTCTGATGCTGTTACTCCAACAGATGATGGAGGAAGAGATCACACTCTCCACAACAGACTAACAAAAGCTGGTGAACATTCTCAGTCATCAAGTTCATGGTCATTCCAGAAAAGTAAAAACAAAAAATCCAATTGACTTAATTTCCGATTTTGAAGATGTTTCGTTTCTCATTCAGGAAACTTTTCCAATTCAAAATGTCAGAAATAGCGTTGAGTTTGAGGTTTTGTACAGTTGCCCAACAAAGCCTTGTTTTTGCTTAAACAACATGCAAATTGAAACTGACTGGTCCGACGCTTTGGAATTCTTTTGTTAGCCTACAATGCCAATAGGCGAGGTCTTCTGTTCCCTTTTAAAGGGATTGCTGCTGCAATGATAGCAGGAAGGAATCAACTCAATTGCTGCATTGCAGGTTTTTTGAAAGCTGAAACCTGAGTCCACCTCCTCTGTTTAAGTTTGTTTTTTCTTTCTTAACATAGATGGCTTCCTTCACGCCCCTCTCAAACCACCTAATTTCTTTATCCAGAATGTGAACATTCTGGTCCTCAAAGAATGTCCTTTGTCCATAAGGTGTAGATGTACAGCAGAGTCTTGTCCAGAGGAGGGCGCTCTTCTGTGCTGGTCCATGCGTCTGTGGAGAGGTTGCTTGGTTTCTTCAATATAAAGATCAGAGCATTCCTCACTGCAGACACCACTCCACTCCTCTTAGGTCTGGGGGTTTTATCTTTAGGATGCAATAGTCTCTGTTTAAGGTTCTTGTTTGGTTTAAAATTTGTACTGGGATTTTGTGTTTGGAGAAAATCCTCTGGAGTTTTTCAGAGACTCCAGCAACATAAGGGATTGTGATGTTTTTGCATTTAATAAAGTCCAGTGGTTTGTTTTTTTACTTTTTGGGAAAATCTTACAGAAAATCTGTGGTGTATTATTGCAAAAAAAATGAAGGACCTAAGCTTTCTTAAAGCCGGGCATACACTGTGCGATTTTTTCAATCGTTGCTACAGCTCACACTGTACGACAAAGCCTGCGGGGTTTCATCGTACAGTTTGAGTTCACAGCTCACTATGTCTGAGCAGCTGATGCGATCTACCTGCTTACAATGTACGTCTAAAAATCACGTTGGACTCAGTTCTGCAGTGAGATGGAGCTGCTCTGACTCGTCTGTCCAGAACCCAAATGAGTAAAAGGGGAATATGAAGCTCACTAGAGTGAAACGCGCTGCCTTGGCTATTTGTGTAATTTTGTGCTGAAAGTCCTAAAAAGAAAAGGAGATGACGTATTTAGACAAAGACATGGCTGAGCAAACATGGCTACTACGGTCTGTCAATTTTACAGAAACAACTCCTTTTTATTTGCACCATGCTTCTGTGTTTACTTCTGAGAGGAAGAAGAAGAGTCCTTGTTGGGCCCCTGAGCGATTAGCTCACAACCACCTTACTACGGCTGACTGAAATTCAAACATGTTTGATTTTCTCCCGACCTCACAATTCTTCATGGGGAGGTGGTCGTTAGAGGGTGACTGCTCCTTGTTACCCCCTGTACACTACATAATGCACCATCAGGCTGAAAGTCGGCCCAATTGGAAAATTCTCGCACAACTGGAAAGTCGCCCTGAACAAGGGCAAAAAATGTGTATGCCCGGCTTAAGAAGTCTAGTCTGCTCTGTCCCTTCTTGTAGACGGCTTTGTTGAGATCCTGAGACGATATTCAATCCAAGTTCTTCTGTTCTGACCTTACACACTTGTCATCCTTTATACCTGGATATGGATTAATGGTTCTAAGATGTCATATATTGTGAGGACCGATGGCTCCCACACAAAAGGTGCACTGTTTTGGTTTAGGGTCAGGGGTAGGCCATAGAAATGATTGCAAGGCATTGCAAGGTCCCTGTAAGAATAAAATGATGCACTACAGGGGTGTATGGGTGTGTTATGTCTTTTTGAACCAACCTGCACCACGGCATATTCCACCAGGGAGAAAAAGCCGAAGAGCAGACAGGCAATCAGCCAGATATCAATGGCCTTTACATATGAGACTTTGGGTAGCTCTGAAGCCAAGGACATGCTTTCACTGGACAGAGAAAGAACGGATAAAATTCCTAGAAAGGAGCAGATGATAACAGAAACATGAAATTCATTAGATAACCCTGCTGTACAGCAATTATTCAGGAAATGACAAAAGGAGAAACAATGTTTTTACTGCAATACACAAGAAGACTATAAGTGAACTCACGGTAGTAGAAGCATTTATACAACAGAAGAATAAAATGAAAAATCCCTTCATTGTCCCACAATGGGTAAATTCTGGTGTTTACAGCAGCAAAAAGATTAGAAAACAAAGTCACAAAAAAGTGGACGTTAGAAAAATGTAAAAGAATAACATAATAGTGAATAATTAAAAGATAAACAATAGAATACTGTACTGTAGAGTTTTATTTTATAATAAAAAACTGCACCTGTAAATATACAGCAAATATGCAGCTATGGACATTTTTACAGTAATGGATATTTGAAAATAGCAGCAACATCAGAGATGTGCAAAATGACAGCAGCAGGTTATTTAACTGACTAAGGTAGAAACTGTGCAAAATCATCATGAATGTAACCAGTTATTGAGGTTGTTGGGAACAGTGGTGGTTCTAGAGTCGTCCNAAAATGTAGTTAAACTAATAGCTTCGCTACATGTAGCGGCGCTACTGCCCATCACTGGGTATTACAGCAGTTCTGGAGGTGCCTCTGAATGAAGACACTCTGCTGGTGTTTAACATTCTGATAGAGGATACTCACGGTTTATCATAATGTTCCTCAATTTATAAAAAAGTCTTTGTGAATTATTCTAGAGAGGTTTGCTTTCTTTTTCAGCTATGTGAGCCTTTTTCACCCATTAGCTCTGATGCTGTTACTCCAACAGATGATGGAGGAAGAGATCACACTCTCCACAACAGACTAACAAAAGCCGGTGAACATTCTCAGTCAGCCAGTTCATGGTCATTCCAGAAAAGTAAAAAAAAATCCAATTGACTTAGTTTCCGAGTTTAAAGACGATTCGTTTCTCATTCAGGAAGCTTTTCCAATTCAAAATGTCAGAAATAGGGTTGAGTTTGAGTCTTCATACAGTAGCCCAACAAAGCCTTGTTTTGGTTCAGAAAATTGAAACTGACTGGTCTGACACTTTGGAATTCTTTTGTTAGCCTGCAGTGCTCCATACCTGTCTATGTCTCTGAAAGGGGGGTCACTAAAGGGAATTGTTGGCCTGGCTGAATAGGCGAGGTCTTCTGTTCCCCTGTAAAGGGATTGCTGCTGCAATGATAGCAGGAAGGGATCAACTCAATTGCTCCATTGCAGGTTTTTGAAAGCTGAAATCTGAGTCCACCTCCTCTGTTTAAGTTTGTTTTTTCTTTCTTAACATAGATGGCTTCCTTCACGCCCCTCTCAAACCATCGATTTTATTTGTCCAGAATGTGAACATTCTGGTCCTCAAAAGAATCTCCTTTGTCCATAAGGTGTAGACGCCCTGCAGAGTCTTGTCCAGAGGAGGGCGCTCTTCTGTGTTGGGCCATGCGTCTGTGGAGAGGTTATTTGGTTTCTTCAATATAAAGATCTGAGCATTCCTCACTGCAGACACCACTCCTCTCCTCTTAGGTCTGGGGGTTTTATCTTTAGGATGCACTAGTCTCTGTTTAAGGTTCTTGTTTGGTTTAAAATTTGTACTGGGATTTTGTGTTTGGAGAAAATCCTCTGGAGTTTTTCAGTTTTTTAACCTTTTGGGAAAATCTTACAGAAGATCTGTGGTGTATTATTGCAAAAAAATGAAGGACCTAAGCTTTCTTAAAGCCAGGCATACACTGTGCGATTTTTTCAATCGTTGCTACAGCTCACACTGTACGACAAAGCCTGTGGGGTTTCATTGTACAGTTTGAGTTCACAGCTCACTATGTCTGAGCAGCTGATGCGATCTACCTGCTTACAATGTAGGTCTAAAAATCACGTTGGACTCAGTTCTGCAGTGAGATGGAGCTGCTCTGACTCGTCTGTCCAGAACCCAAATGAGTAAAAGAGGAATATGAGGCTCACTAGAGTGAAACGCGCTGCCTTGGCAGTTTGTGCAATTTTGTGCTGAAAGCCCTAAAAAGAAAAGGAGACGACGTATTTAGACAAAGACATGGCTGAGCAAACATGGCTACTACGGTCTGTCAATTTTACAGAAACAACTCCTTTTTATTTGCACCATGCTTCTGTGTTTACTTCTGAGAGGAAGAAGAAGAGTCCTTGTTGGGCCCCTGAGCGATTAGCTCACAACCACCTTACTACGGCTGACTGAAATTCAAACATGTTTGATTTTCTCCCGACCTCACAATTCTTCATGGGGAGGTGGTCGTTAGAGGGTGACTGCTCCTTGTTACCCCCTGTACACTACATAATGCACCATCAGGCTGAAAGTCGGCCCAATTGGAAAATTCTCGCACAACTGGAAAGTCGCCCTGAACAAGGGCAAAAAATGTGTATGCCCGGCTTAAGAAGTCTAGTCTGCTCTGTCCCTTCTTGTAGACGGCTTTGTTGAGATCCTGAGACGATATTCAATCCAAGTTCTTCTGTTCTGACCTTACTCACTTGTCATCCTTTATACCTGGATATGGATTTATGGTTCTAAGATGTCATATATTGTGAGGACCGATGGCTCCCACACAAAAGGTGCACTGTTTTGGTTTAGGGTCAGGGGTAGGCCATAGAAATGATTGCAAGGCATTGCAAGGTCCCTGTAAGAATAAAATGATGCACTACAGGGGTGTATGGGTGTGTTATGTCTTTTTGAACCAACCTGCACCACGGCATATTCCACCAGGGAGAAAAAGCCGAAGAGCAGACAGGCAATCAGCCAGATATCAATGGCCTTTACATATGAGACTTTGGGTAGCTCTGAAGCCAAGGACATGCTTTCACTGGACAGAGAAAGAACGGATAAAATTCCTAGAAAGGAGCAGATGATAACAGAAACATGAAATTCATTAGATAACCCTGCTGTACAGCAATTATTCAGGAAATGACAAAAGGAGAAACAATGTTTTTACTGCAATACACAAGAAGACTATAAGTGAACTCACGGTAGTAGAAGCATTTATACAACAGAAGAATAAAATGAAAAATCCCTTCATTGTCCCACAATGGGTAAATTCTGGTGTTTACAGCAGCAAAAAGATTAGAAAACAAAGTCACAAAAAAGTGGACGTTAGAAAAATGTAAAAGAATAACATAATAGTGAATAATTAAAAGATAAACAATAGAATACTGTACTGTAGAGTTTTATTTTATAATAAAAAACTGCACCTGTAAATATACAGCAAATATGCAGCTATGGACATTTTTACAGTAATGGATATTTGAAAATAGCAGCAACATCAGAGATGTGCAAAATGACAGCAGCAGGTTATTTAACTGACTAAGGTAGAAACTGTGCAAAATCATCATGAATGTAACCAGTTATTGAGGTTGTTGGGAACAGTGGTGGTTCTAGAGTCGTCCNCTGGCCTTCCTGATCAGCTGATCCAGCCGCTTTCTCTCAGCTACAGATAAGTCACTGCTCCCTGCAACCCAAACGACCTCAGTCTCCTCAGCAGGAAGGTCTGCTCTGACCTTTCTTATACAGAGCCTCAGTGTTATGAGCTAAATTAAACAATATTTATCCTAATTCTGGGTAGGGGTGCCATGAGCAGGAGGCAGTGGAATATTTGGCTAAAAACTGATCTAGAATAAAGTAAAAATGTATTAAAATACATTTATTTAAAATTAATTAGGGCAGGTAAATGTGATGATCTTTCAATGGAGCGAACATTTTTGCCAATAAATAAGCAACATAGATTTTATTCACTTGAAATAAGTTATTTGTATAATTTTAAACATAGGGTATGTTATTCCGTTTGTGAATAACATACCTATAACCACCATCTTAATTCAAGGGAAATACATTTCTACCACGAAAAATTAACTTACTTGTATTTGAAATTTTATAACGGGGATGCTGTGATTTATTTTCATATCTAGCTGAGGCCGCTAGAGTGAAAGATGTCATCAAACAGAAAACAGACTTTTCACGTTGGCTTTAAGCTTGTGTTAAAACCTGCCAGAAATATAAGATGTGAGAATAACTTTAATTATTCCTGTGGGCTCATTGTGCAAAACAGAAACACCCAGAAGTGGGATTTTTGTCTTCCTCCTTGTTTTATATCAATCCTGCATGGATGCTAACATTAGCCCCCATTGCTACTGTATGTCTCCCGCCTCCATTCCACCATCAGTGTCTCACCTGCAGGCAGTCGGTAGATGTTGCTGCTTGTGTAACTTTTTACCTTATTATGTAATCTGAGCTTTCAAAAGTATTAATATTTATTACTCCATTACAAGTATAAATCCTACTGTTTAAAAACACTTCTGTAGAAGTTGGAGGATGAATTTAAGCTTTTTACTTCAGTAAAAGTGTCATTTTTTAAAACTACTTAAAGTATAAAATAAAAAGTAAGACAGGAAAAAATGTTAAGGATGGAAGCTTTACTGCTCTACCCTATTAAAGGAACAATGATAACTTCCTTTGATTTGATTTTCTTAGTTTTATAATTAATGGTAACAGTGCCACAGTTAACTTTGCATCATCTTGAAAAACTATTTATTTTGGTTTGTGGTGAACAACAAGTTGGGGCAGCACTGTTTCGAACCACAGAGAAATTAATAGTCTGAATGAAACTAATTATTTTGATGGTTTCTATTTTTAACGAGTCTATTTTTAAAATGTAAGGAGTAATAAGTAGAGAAAATTGCAAAAAGATGTAAGGAGTAGAGGTAAAAAGTTGTCTAAACAGTAATTACTCCAGTAAAGTATAGATAGACAAAATTTCTACTTAAGTAAGGTAACAAAGAATTTGTTCTTTTTTTCCTGACATTGTATGTAACCAGGAAACCTTACTAAACAAACCATGGCTAAATGCTAATGTGTTTGCAGATTCATGTGAATGAATCTGCAAACACATTAGCATTTAGATATGGTTCAAATCTAAATGCTTTCTAAATGCTTTCATATCCTTTTTGACACAAGTCAAAAAGGATATGAAAGGGGACAAGAATGAGCTCCATTTTATTTATTTCTATTCTCCTAAAAATTATAAAACATGAATTTACAGTCCATTTCAGATGAATTAAAAGAAGTAAAATACCAGAGTAAGACTCCTTTAAAGGTATAGAGGACAATCTTTTATTTCTGGGTGGATCATCTCAATAAGTGGCCCTCCTAACTGTCAATTTTTTTGGTTATATTTTACATAAGGCCGTCCTACGCACTCGTCCCCTTAACTATCTTTTTCTGTACACTTTCAGTCTTTGGTGAGCTACGGTTTCATTGAAGCTCACTTTTCTCATCGGGTCATAAGAGGAAAAGTGTCTACGGGCTTTATGAGAAGAAAAAAAAGGTCTCTGAAGAGGCAGATATATCCCATTATGCTTTACACAGAGAGTTCTCCTCGCAAAGCATTATGGGATTTGCTATTCGCTAAAAACAAAGATGGCGCAGGCACTGTGAGGTCGAGGAGGAGTTATGTGACCAACGGAGCAAAAAGCAGTGATCATCTGAACCGTCAGTTAACTGAGTTTACTATAGAGTTCACAATAGAGTCCCTGCTGTATGTGGACACAGTGAGCTTGTATGAGCTATATTAACAGCACATTTTAAACAGGGCGTGCATGAGAAGAAATTGGTTTGTGCACGCCCTTGCAGGGGGTGGGTGTTTTTAAACAATCCTCCACAATACCTTTAAGTGTCTGGTGTTGTAAAGAGAGACAAACCATCCCTTAAAGAGCCAGGGGGGTTGCTCCCATTGACAAGGTACTGAAGGTAATTGCTTCAAGTGTCTCCTTCACCCCTAGGGAGCAGTTTTTATCCATGCAGCCTTTTGCAGGCCTGCTCTCCACTGCGTGCATCTGTTAGCTGATGGCTGGTCTAGATGAGCAGCTCAGGTTTCCATCACACATTACAGCATCATCTTTATGACCAAACAGGGCTGTTATTAGAGGCCCCAGAGCAGCTCTTTGTAAAAACACTGATTGATTTCCTGAGGCAAGTGTAAAGAATGTCAAAAACATCAATACAGAGGAGAAAACATGTCTCCAGTAAGCATGGAGGACATGCGGCGGTGTGTTTGTGCTCACCCAGTGGTACCCGTGCAGCTGAGGCGTCTGGGTTGATCCAGAAGGCTAACCAGGACAAAACAACCAGCAGCAGAGTCGGAGCATAAACTCCCATCAGGTAGAAACCGACCTGTCGACGCAGCGTGAAGATCACCTCCACACAGGTGTAGTAACCTGGAAAAAGAGGCTTAGTCAGAGAGCCATGTTTGTTCTCTGCATGATTCTTATAAAACCATAAAACTTCAGCAGGGATTATTTCACAAAGTGTTTGCATTATTGTAGACCTGCTTTATTTTTAGCTTAGACTCCCAGGAACATATAAGCAGCCTTTTCTTTTTTTTGTTTGCAACAGCCAAGTCAGCCAAATTAGGACTCCTGTTTCTATAGCAACAACTGCCTGAAACAGAACGGCGGCGTGACAATGAAGGAGCGCTCAGTGGGAAAAAAGGCTTTTCCACAAAACATCTGATGCTAATAATGTTTCATGCCCACGCAGGCAGCATGTCGGATGTCTGTGATGATGGAAATACAAACGGTCTGTGGAAGCTTTAGCAAAAAATTCATCACAGAAATAAGAGGAGCTGCATCAACCAGAAGCTTCTCTTCATGTGTTTTAGTTTTATGCCAATATAAAGATAACTTAACACCAATCCTAATGAGATTACAGTTGCATGTATGCTTGTTTCTGCTCAGACAGTGTTTAGTTCTCCTCTAGTGGGAGATTTTTCTCCTTTTTATATATGCATGCCAAAGGGAAGGGGCTGATGTTCAGAACCCCTGCGACTGGCTAGTGAACCGTAAAGGTGAGCATCGGAAAAATAAAGAGCCGGTGTCGGACATAATCGCAGCAGAAGGCAGGTTAGCACATCAAACAGGACGCAGGCTGCAGGCTGTGCAAAGATGTCCCTGAGACAGACCCATCAGATCACGGCAGGGATTACGATGCTGACAGGAACAGGAGAACATGCTGGAAGTCCCACAGCCTCAGAGTGCTAACACGAATAAAACCCAGTGGGATTTCTAGACAACAGGTGATTTCTAACCAGCCAGGAACACATAGAGGAATGTAGGAGCAATCCCTACTGACCTCATTAGCAAAAGGAAGAGAAGCTTGAGAAACACCCGACAGACAAGAACAAACTGATAAAAGTTTAATAATCTGTGATGCCAGCAGTTACTGAGACCCCAACCCTGAATCTGGATAATGGGCTGCTGTAGTTTGTAGAAAAAAACAGAGGTTACAACAGGGTGGACTGGGAGATTTCTTCAGGCCAGAGGTCAGTCATGTAACCAGACCACCCCTGTTATATCACTGATTGACATGATTGATTTCATGTAGTAAAATAAAATAGGGCTGTGATCTGTTTTGCTTTCTGAGAACCAAACTGAAAATTTAAATAAGCTTTTATCAACCAAAAAGTAGGTTTTTATTATATGTTTGAGTTCACATTCAGCTTTGACACACATCAAACCAAGCAGAGGAACAGACTGGATGTGGAGAACAGCCTGTGAGAGCAACTGTGATTTGATGAAAACAAAGTAAAACTCATTAAGTCAGTCTGACTATTAATTTTGTTCTGCATTTTGTTCCCAATTCATCAAGTTTAAATGTGATTATAAGGGATTTACTCAGAGGAGCTCCAGTTTATAAATATAGGTTTATAATGTGATTTATTTTGTATTTATTCCGATTCCTTACTAACTTGGCAACATACTAATGTTGTTGTTTTTTTTTTTTTATTTGAGATGGAAAGCATACATTTATAAAAATTAAATGCTCAAATTAACAGATTAAGTAATGTTTCTAATAAGAAAAAGTTCAAAAAAATAAATTAGTTTTAGATTTTTCTACATTTGATCAACAACACTGGCCTATATTACAGGAGCAAATGAACAAGATAAACAACTGATTGTCACACAAACATAATGAAATACAAAGACTGAATCCTTCAGTGGGTTTTATCTGAGACCTTTAGGATTAATCACTTTCAGTGGTGAATTATGGAGACTTTTTCTGTGCAGTGTTTTTTTGTTGTTGTTGGTTTTTTCAGCAAAAACTCTTCAGAGTTGATGTTTTCCTATTTTAAACTTTAAAAAAGAAACTTTACATTGGCTAATTATCCTACTTACCTGCTTTAATTAAGGGAAAGCACTGAAATGGTTGCAGTGGGGTAGCTCTAATTGTAACTGTGAGGAAGAGGATTCGCTACCAACAGAGGAAAGAAATGTGGTAATTGGATATGCAATATTTATCAACAGCAGATTGCCTTGTCTGTTCTGTTGGATCATGGTTCATTATCTCTCATTATTTATAAAACTCAGCTGAACTGCACGATCAGATATGCAGTGCAAATTATGATGTTTTCAGATAATTAAATCCATGTCAGGATCAGTGGATACTTGTTGAGGACCCAGATTGAAGAGACGGTAGAGCAGAGATGATTTCTTAAAAAAATTTAATGGAGTAAAATCGATCGACAACAAACTCAGGAACCAAAAACTAGGAGACATTGGTGGCGACACAAATAATGGCTAATCAGCTGATAGGGAGCAGGTGTGGATAGAAGCAACTAGAAGGGAAGTAAGGGGAAAGGAGACTGACACAAGGGGGCAACAGAGAGTAACTCAAAAATACAAAACTGCTTAAATATAACTAGAAAACAACTAGAATGAAACAACGTTTAAAAAAAACCTAAAGATCCAGATTACACAGAATGACATAAATCAAAGTGTAACTGAAAACTGAACAGAAAAAAAGTACACAAAGGGCAGAATCATGACAACTCAGATAATTCTGTTTAATAATTTGTGATATTTAGACATGTTTAGTTTAGTTATCACCATAAATCATTCAAATATTTAACTAAAAACTAATATACTATTACATCCATGGTTAGAAGCTGGTTTGCATCTAAGCATTATGTTTGCAGGGAAAAACCTTAAGAGTAAACAGCAGGACTACCGACCTGTTCCTTGGTAGTACTTTGTACAGTTTCCATACTTGATATCCTCCTGTTTGATGTCAAACTGAGGGAGAGCGATCTCATCCATCTGAACCGGGTCTGACTGCCACATGAACACAAGATCGCTGGTGGTATAGCCAACTAAAACGAGAATGAATCCAGGTGAGGCGTTTATATATTAGCAATGAAACATGTTGGGATTGCATCAGATGTGTGTGTGTGTGTGTGTGTGTGTGTGTGCGCACTCACAGCTCTCCAGCTGCATCTTGCACCGCTGTGTGTCCATCGGGAAGAGTGTGAGGTCCAGGGGACAAGACAGAGTCACTGAAAGTCTGCATAGAAGTACGACACACGGCTGAGCCAAAAACCAGAAGGAAGAACATACCAGCATCATTTAAACAGAATATATTTTTCTGGTTGGGATCCAGAGGAGCTAAAGGGGCTTCTGCTAACACAAGGAAGCGTTTATAATATCCAAACGTCCAAGTCAGAAAATTGTCCTGGAACGTCCCCTGAAACTGGCAGACTGCCTTCAAAACTCAAAAGTTTCTCACCGACCCTGAGCTCAAAATTAATCATGGCTGTCGCACAGAAAGTATAGAGATAGGTTCTAATAATGGTGATGCTTCATTTCTCTGTTTGATTTGGGTAGTGTGTGTTTGCAAACATTCATGTATTATTCCTATGGAAGAGAGATGGATCTGAAGATTAAACCCTAGGACCACTATGTATGCCCACTACCTGAAGTATATAAGGTTATCCCCTGCTTTTCCTCCCTCTTGCTTAATTTCTCATGTTTAAGGTAAAAGCAGTAGTTTTTGTGTTTGGTCTCTGAAATAGAGCCTTCAGGTGTATTCAATGAAGCAGTATTTTAGAGGTGGCAGCATTTCCGTCAGGCTATGTATGGGTTAAACATTAAAAACACTGCCGTAAACACAAATTAATGCTTAAAAACACAAAAAAGAGACCAAAAAACAAAACACATGCTGAAGGGAAAAGGACGGCAAAAGTAGTGAAAACAACTACAAGTTAAGAAAAGCTGCAAACTAGCTCTGCTTATTTGAGGAGCTCCAGACCACTAGGGGGAGATGATCATCAACTCGGTGGGGGGAAGACCATAAACAATACTATGGGTGTGTTTCAACTTCAGCGACTGCATCCTCAAAGGACCCGGTCTATGTGGACTGGATCCTTTGAGGTCTGTGAAAATAAGGAGACCGGAAGAGTTTTGGCTGTAGATTCAAACAGGTCCAGCCTTCTGCTGCTTTCACTGCCTGGACGCTCTGTCGCCTAGCAACCGTGAGAGTTTACACACAAAGCAGGAAAAGAATGATACCGAACTTTTCCCTGCTGTTCTGGATGTTAATAACATCTTGGAGCAGCTTTAACAGCTGCATTGTATCAGATTTATAGTCCCCACACTGCAGATATAATCTGTCCTTATATTGCAGCCAAACTCATTTACACAGTAACAGATAAAAACATTTCAATGAACCAAACATTACCCGCCACCTATCTGACTCAGTAACCATTAAAACAACTATTTTCATTCATTTCAGATGGAACTATTCACATACTTGAATTATATTAAACTGAATTTCCAATTCCCACCACTGTTCGGCGCCATTTCCCTTTTTCCTCTGATCATGGAGCAGCTGGCTTGCTTGCAATGAATCATGGGATACCTAAGGCTACGTAGGATACACCATACCCATCTTGCAAAAAGAAGGATGCATCTGTAGGTCGCATAACGTGGATTCTTCCAATCCGAACAGACCTCAGCGCCGTGCTATGATGTAATCTGCCTATGCCTCAACATTCGAAACAGAGTCCTGCATAGGTCTAATTTTTCAAAACTGTATCCGTCCGCACCCATAGAGTTCAGAACCAAGAAGGTATCCCCATTTAAAACCCGGCCGGGACCATGCGGACCCGTAAATAATAAAGTGCAATCCAACCGTGATCACAAAGTGTGCACACAGTCTTCTATAATAACAGAGGCAGTAAAAAACATTGCTTCACTCTAACAGACTAACGGCTGTAAATTGGCCGAAATAAGAAGGTTTTCCTCATTACTTAAAACTGACTGCTATCTGGAGATTCTTGAATCAATTTATTCTTTTAGATGTAGAGTTAATAAATAACAAAATATGAAAAGTTTAATTTATGTTGTAACTCTGACACCTGCATTTTGTTCATATATGCCTGTGCCCACACCTGTGAAATGATATGGGTTTTTCTGCCCGTAGGTATACATTTTATACGGGTACCCGACCCAGTGAAGGACTAAGCAACGAAATTATGTCTATCCATCAGACCGTTAGCGAAAACAGTAACGAGATGCCCTACCAAAGTTTCTCTTTGAGTCTTCTTTAAACACTAAATGTCTCTGAGAATCTCTTCTTACTTCTGGAGCAATTCAGTTGTTCAGAAATAGTTTGCAGCTTTTCTACTCATTCAGTTTTTTCTGATTAAAAAAAAAAACCTTTTCCATGTTTTTATGTCTGTTAGCAGCTAATTTAGTAAGGAAATGCGTTTATTTCCGCATTGGATTTTTATTTTGCCAGTCTCTATTTTCTTTTGCTGCATTTTAATGTGTTTCTTTTTTGTGTTTCCAGCATTTTTGTTTTCGCTGCATTTTATGCATTTGCAGTGTGTTTGCACCTTGGCCGCCGTAAGTTTGCCATTAAGCAGCAAGAACTAAAGCTACTACCACCTCTTTTCCTTTCATAGCAGACCAGTTGACATATTGGTCATATTCCTTGTTTTAAGTTATTTATAGTTGATTTATAGGCGGTAGAATTTACATTCCTAATGGATGTGATAAACACTGTAAAACGATCTAGATATAAGTAAAAATGTCCTAAATTAAGTGTATTTACCCTTAATTTGAGTAGGTTAATGAAATAGTTTGCCAATGGAATGAGAATTTTTAATCTTAAAATGAGATAATTAGATAACATGCACTTGAAATAAGACAATGCAATTGTTGTTTCTTATTTAAAATTTAAATTGTCTTGTTCCATTGGCAAAGTGTCTCTTTTACCTCCTTAACATATTTTAAGAAAAAATTACTTATCTAGATTTGGATTTTTTCCAGTGAACTTTTTTCCAATCTCAATTTCCCGCCATCTAAGACTGTATGAATACGGTCCTCAGCGAATGAAAACTGAGCTGTGTGGCTAACATGAGTGAAGGTAAAGATGTAGGATGTGGCTGATACCTCATGCTGATTAAGACATCTCCATTCCTGAATATGAAGAGGAGAATGTTGTCCTGTGTGACATCATGAAAGTTTGCATTTTTTTCATTGGCAAAAAACAGGTCTGGTTTCCACAAACACTGGAACATTTTGGGATCAACAGTCAGCGCTTCACTTTTAAAGTCAGTAGGCAGTCGCAGACGAGGGTCGTTCCATCTCTGACGAAGAAATATATTCACTCTGTAGTCCTGGATAGAAAACATTTTCACTTAGTTCGCAAAATTTCACCATATTTTCATGAATGCCGCAAATGCTTCTAACTCATTAAGCTAATTAAAGTTACATTCATTATGTTTACTTTATGAATATCAATGTGAATATCTAATTGATTCACAACAAAATGTTTTTTCTTTGTATTAAAATTTTTATTTCATATTTGCTGATTTAGGGAAAATAAGCAACTCTAAAACATTCACACTTTTTTTTTTAACTGTGATAAATTCTTAAGAGAATTAACCAGTTTATGTAACTCTGGGGTGAGATGTGGTCGTTAAAGGACCTGCAGGAGCAGCAAATGATCAAAGAAGCTGAAACGGTTAAATCATTTAATGATGAACTCTTCAGTTTACCGCTGGATGTAAGATGATGTATCACTGAGTCCTGTTGAAGTGTGATCTTCCATTTATCACTTTAGAAAAAACGAAGGAATGATATATATGATGTTTCATCCTTTTATTTGTTTTTCAAATTGAAACACTTAATTGGGTTGGAGAAAACTGTTTTTTTATTGGTTTCATAAAGTGATGTGTGAAATCATTATGTGTTTATGAATTCTTTCTAAATTTAATATGAGGAAAACAGATAATGAGCAAATGAGTTCATTTAATCAAACTTTGTTTTGGTCTCTGAGGTAAGGGTAATTTTATGAGGCTGAGCAGAAAGTATTTCATTTATATTTATTTATTTGATAGGGAGCGCTGTGCACATTAAGCATTTAGACACTCAACATTGGAAGAAACAGCTCATTTCAAACAGCTAACATCTTTCCCTAAAGTGCCTTTAAAAAACTCAACTTTACAAAAGCTTGAAAATTCATGTCATACAGAAGTCCAATTTAAAGTTGTTCATATTAAACCAAATATGGATGAATGTTGAACCTTTTTTAAAACACATTTTTGTTTATTTTAAAGGCCTGATATCAGGCGCCTGTTTCAGCTCAGGAGACAAAGACGTCCACAGTCTGGCCTCCTGGACAGAGAAGGCAAAGTGTCCAATGGACGTTTTTCTCAGGGAAACGTTCACATTTTAATTTTAGCTCCCGCTGTGATAAAACCTACTGCTCTGAGTGGGGCTATGGGCCCTCTGAGAGGTCAGGGGCCTAATTATAATTTATACATTTCTTTCTAATATGAAACTTTACAGTGTTGGGATCCGGAGTGTTTCCTGTGCTTTATTGTTAATTATTCTCACTGGTTTAAATGTTTGCTGCTCAGTGGTGTTATTTCAGTGGGCAGCACTGCTGCCTTGCAGCATGAAGGTTTGATTCCCCGTCTGGGGTCTTTCTGCATGGAGTTTTCATGTTCTCCCTGAGCATGCTTGGGTTCTCTCTGGGTACTCCAGCTTCCTCCCACAGTCCAAAAACATGACTGTTAGGTTAATTGTCTTCTCTAAATTCTCCTTAGGTGTGGGTGTGAGTGGTCGTTTGTGTCTGTGTTGCCTTGCAATGGACTGGTGACCTGTCCAGGGTGGACCCTGCCTCTCGCCCATAAACAGCTGGCACATGTACCCCTAGCCACCCCGCCTGGGCTAATGGTGACAGAAAATAGACGAATGGATGGTTTGATTTTTGTTTTTGTTGTCTGAGACCAGTAAACAGACCTATGGGCATTTTATTCAATTCAGTTCATTTATATATATAAAGTGCCAGTTCCCAACACATGTAATCTTAAGGCACTTTTGATAGTTAAGAGATGCATCCATCCATGTTTTTCCAACCCAGTCTGATACCGATACATGGACTGAGCGCATTGGCCAATAAGATTCAAAAAGGCTTTATTTGTCAGCCAGCCTGGAGCAGCATTCCAGTTGGACGAAATTTAAGCTTTGGCACGGCCAATCCAAGAAAAGACAAAACGCAGACACTATACATAGGGAATGGTGTCCGACGCCTTGCTGCTCTTATCTGATACAGATTTGATGCCACTGCTGAATGAGCTAACTGTGTACCTAGGAATGTGAATAAAGGCCTCAGGCCTGACATTAACGTTATTAAAAAAAAGTAGCATATTAATATAATAATTAGCATTGGAATGATAGAATTAAAGTCATTAAATAGCTTTAACTGTATCGCTGTGCAAAAATAGAAATGACGTCATCAGAATGCTAGATCAACATAATTTACCTGACATCCAATCCAGCCTATTAGTCAGCATTAAGCCAATATTTATTCTTGGTATCAGATTAATGCATCGCTAATCATAACTAGTTTACCAGTAAGGAACAAATAACAGCAGAATAGAAAGTCTTTTCAGACGTAATCAGAATCATCTGGAACAATGAAGTTCAAGAACAGGGCGGATCCTTTGGACCAAAGAAGAGAAATCCAGACTTAGCTCCCAGGTTTAGCTTCTACAGCTAGAAACCACTGATTATGGCTGAAATCTTGGTGTCATGATGGACTCAGACCTGAACCTTCAGAGGCTCATAAAGGCAGTTACTAAGTCAGCCTTTGATCACCTGAAGAACATCTCCAGGATTAAAGGAGTAATGTGCAGCAGGATCTAGAAAAACTCATCCATGCATCTATCTTTAGTAGAATTGATCACTGCAACAGTGTCTTTATAGGTTTTCCTAAAAAGTCCATCAGACAGCTGCAGCTGGTCCAAAACGCTGCTGCCAGTGTTCTCACTAGAATTAAGAAAGTAGAACACATCAGCCTGGTTGTGAAGTCCTTCTACTGGCTCCCTGTAGCTCAGAGAATAGACTCTAAAATCTTTCTGTTAGTCTAGAATTCATTGAATAGATCAGCAGCTTAATTCATAACCAATCTGTTTCCAGTGGATCAACCTCCCAGACCACTCAGATCTTCTAGTTCCAGCCTACTCTGTCACCCAGAACTAGAACCAAATATGGAGAAACAGCATCTATGCTCCACGGATCTGGAACAAACTCCCAGCAGACTGGAAAAGAGCTGAAAGCCTGAGTTCTTTGGAGTCAGAGTTAGAAACCCGTTAGTTCGGAGCTGCCTTTGACTGTTGGAGTTAAACTGATAACTGGGATATGACTATGAGGTATTGAGGGGAGTGGCAGCCATTGCATTAATGGTGGCCTAAAGGTTAAGGCATAGAGCTTTATGCCCCACTCCCACAGCCTGCCACTGTGGGTCCCTGAGCAAAGACCATTGACCCCATACTGCTCCCTGGGTGCCACACAATGGCAGCCCTTTGCTGCCCAAGGAGATGGGTTAGATTCAGATAGTGAATTTCTCCATTGTGGATCTCAGGAGGGAGGGGTTACTATATTTGGGTAAAAATGGCTGCTCCTGGACTCTGTGACTGCGATGAAAATTTTGTTCTTATTTTTTAACTGAATAACTCTAAATTCATTAAATCACCATGTATGTATTAGTTTTAGGTATAAATGATGATCCATTGATTATTCCTTGCTGACCGGACTTCCCTTTAATCACAGTCAGAGTGGACGTTTGATCCAGCAGGCTGATGTATTTATACTGTTCCTCATAAAGGTGTGATTTTTTTGTATGTTTAATTTCACAAGGAAAATGGAAATTTTTAATAAACAAAAATAATCAGCTATAGTATATATATTATGAAACAAATAAAAAAAACAGTTGTTTTGTGTTTTTCAGTGTTTCAATTTGAAAAACAAATAAAACAAAATTTGAAACACGTCTATTTCTTTTTATTTGAGAATGAACCTCTAACAGAGCAGCTCCTCAGTCCATCATGCGGTGGATCTCTGATGCAGTCAGAGCAAAGATAGAATAAAGCGCTGTTCTCTGGACTTACCCTAAACTTGGAAAAGAGATAAACAGCTTTATTGATGATCAATGATACAAGTTTTATCACTGATCAAAGACACATAAAGAGCCATTTTATCAGCTAACATTGATGTTTTAGGGTTTTATCTAAATTAGAAAACATTTATTCCAAAGAGTTTTGTGAACTGTAGCTTTCATTATCATGTTAGCTACACCTGTAGGCCAAAGGGAAACCCAAACTAAGTGTGTCAGTGGTGGGTGGAATCACCATGGCCGTCTCCTGGATGGACCCAAAGCTGTTGATGAACATGTTCACCTTGGACTCAACTGGAATACCTGGAAGCCAGAAAAATCAGCAGGACACTGAATCTCCACAGACAACAAATACATAGATCACTTCTCATTAAGTAACATCTAAAAACCTAATACCTATTTTTTTCTACATATTGGTGTGTTTATAATTAAACATAAAAGTCATTTTGCACTAAGTGGTTTGGAAGAGCTCAGCTGGGAGTCACCAGAAGTTTCTCCTGGTTGCAGACAAATTCTATTTAAAGTCTGCCTCAAATCGGGCCTTTAAAGGAAAAGTCCGCTCATATTCAGAATTTAAACTTCCGAAAGTACTTTAAATATGAATTTATTACATACTGTTCTATAAATGATATTTGTTTTTAAATCAGAGTAATTTTCATGTGAATGTGCTTTACTGGAGGCATCCATGTTTGTCAAAGAACACTACTGCCACCTACTGGTT